CCCCAAAACCCCAAAACCCCAAAACCCCAAAACCCCAAAACCCCTCTAATTTATTATTAATCTATAATTTTTTAGCTAACATGAAAACAATAACGATCTTAGTAGTCGCTGCTGCTTCTTTGGCACTAGTGTTCATGACTGCTTCTCCAGTAAACAAAGATGATGCTGCTTATGAAGCTTTTATTGGAGAATACGGAAGGAACTTCGCTTCAACTGAAGAATATAACTTCAGAAGAGACATCTTCCTGCAATCTCTCAAGAAGGTTGAAGAGCACAATGCTAAAGGACTCTCATGGACTTATGCAATTAATAAGTTCTCTGACTGGACTGAAGAAGAATACCAAAGACTTTTAGGACTTAAGAAAATGAGGAATAGCAACTCTAACTTGCCAATCATCCAACTCCCAAAGGTCGACAAAGTTAAAGGTATTGACTGGAGAACTAAGGAAGGATTTGTAGGACCAGTCCTCGACCAAGGACACTGTGGATCATGCTGGGCTTTCTCAGCAGCTCAAACTCTTGCTGGATCTTACTTTAAAGCTTACGGAGAAGTTGTTGATGTCTCAAGGAGTCATGCTGTTGATTGTGATTTCTTCTCTCACGGATGTAACGGAGGACTTCAAGAAAATGCTTTCGCTCACTGGATGAAGCATCCATTCATTAACGAAGCTGATTACCCATATGAGGCTAAAGATAGAGCTTGCCAGGAAGAGTCTATCTCATCTAACAATAGATTAGTAAAGTCCGCTTTCAGAGTTGATGTAGGTGATGATCTTTTGTATGATGCTCTTGTTCACATGCCAGTTTCTATCTCAATCAGAGCCGAAAATGATGACTTCAGACACTACGGAGGTGGTGTTATCAGCGGAGACGGATGCGGATATGAGATTGATCATGCCGTCCTCCTTGTTGGATTTGAAGAGGACACTAACTCATGGATTGTTAAGAACTCCTGGGGAGCAGGATGGGGAGAAGATGGATATGTAAGAATTGCTAAAACCCATACCAGACATGGAGTGTGTGGAATTAACCAGCAGAACTCTATCCCAGTCTTTGAAGATGAATGGGAGCCATTTAATGAATAATCACTCAAATTCTGTGATAATAGCGCCTTCTCCTAATCTTATCTAATGTTAAATTTTTAATACTCCTTCAATATTTTATAATATTAAGGGGTTTTGGGGTTTTGGGGTTTTGGGGTTTTGGGG